AGCAAATATTTCTGTGTAGTTTTTCTATGTAGCTTTTGCAAATCACACAGCTAGCTGCTTTCTGTGTTATTCTTTAGTGCAGCTGAGCTTGGAAATCAGTGTCACAAAATGGGATAACTTTGGAAATGCATGAACACAGTTTAAGTTAGGGCAGCGCAGTTGGAGATGGCCCACCACAACATTAATTAAAAGAAATTCATTTCTGAAAGAAATAACTTCATGGATAGTCGATAATTCCTAAAGTTTATTAGCATATGCATAGTTTTCAGTTATTTTCCTTTCAGATTGAATATTGTAAGGTAAGATATTGATATCTTTAAACGCTTGTATTAAAATGTCTAATATTGCACTATTTTAACCAGAGTTTTTTCATAATTTTCCCTAGGCCTGTCATTTCTGATATTTTGTGACAAACAATATGTTTTTTTTTAAAAAAAAGATTTAAATAATTTTTAAAATGCCACATTAGAATATTTTCTAGCGCATTAGAACATTTCCTAGTGCCAACCAGAAAACAGTTTATATTCCAGACTTGATATTTACAACCACTGATTGCAGCACACTGTTTTTCCAACAAGTATTCTTGGCTAGTTGACTTGTCTGTCTGATTTCAAGTGCTAATAATTAGACTGCAGAATACCATTCAGAAAACAGTATTGTTCATATTCATTTATATAGAGGTTGAGGAAGTACAGTAGAGACCAGTAAAGAACTCTAATCTCTTCTCAGTAAAATCAGTTCTGGATATGCTTATTCTCTACACAGAGAGTAATGGTGGAAGACAGAAAAAGCAAGAATATACACTTATGGTCTTACTAAGTGCTCTAAAACTCTTAATGAGTGTAAAGAGGAGGCCTTTTTAAATGGAGGCAAACAGGGCAGTCGTTCAGCAGGTGTTTAGATATCCTAATTTATCTATCCCAAATAGTGTAGAATCCTGGATACAGCTATGGATAGTAAGCAGGTGACGTATCCAGCTGCAAGATTTGTCTGTGTTACCAAGAAATTATCTGCTAATCTTCTTAATCCTTGTTGAAATTTGTAGTTGCCAATGGCGCTGGAGCTGGAAGCTCTGAGTCTTCAGAAGAGAGCTCTAACTCTGAGACAGGGGAACAGTTGGAGAATCAGACAGACAAGCGCCAGGTTCAACAATCCTCAGCAAAGGCAGAAGGAGAAAAGGCCAGTGGCCTCATCACACAGGATGGCATCCATATTCCATTTGAGAACTTACGAGAAGAACAGGGTGCCAGCACGTGCCACAATCCACCCCTCAATGGACCGGAGACGATGGAAACTGTGGTGTGCATGCCAGTACCCATGCAAGTGGGTCCAGGTCATGGAGCCCTGTTTGGGAACGTTGGAGAAGTAGTAGCCAGCTGCCCTGTGCAAGGTTCACAGGTGATCATCATTGCTGGGCCGGGCTATGATACTCTCACAGCGGAAGGAATCCAGCTTAATGTCGCCAGCGCAGGAGAAGAGGAGCTGCCTTGTGCTATGATAGAGGGTGTAGCCACTTATACTCAAGCACAGCCTGAGAACGGACAGCAGAGTAGCATGGAGTACATCAAAACGAAAAAAGGTAGTTTCTACCATCCACCTTGGCTGCCTATTCTCAGATGAACCAAGTGTCTAGCTTTAAAATGTGTAGGTTTAATGTACTGTTGTAAGTATAAGAGCAGCGTTTTTGCTATAGAGCAGGTGTCCCCAGCCTGTGGGCCATGGCCCACTACCACGTTGTGGGCTAATTGCCACTGGGCCGTGTGAATGGCTGGCCAGTGCATGCACCTCTGCAAGCGGCAAAGCCCCACTCGCGCAAGCCTCGTTGCAAATATTTGCGGCCCCGCTCGCGAAAACATCCCGGCCACAAAGCATGCACATTTTAACTTGTGCCTCTCCCACATAATCATCCTCTCTTTCCCCCCACTCCCCTATCCTGCTCCAGGCGAACCCAGAAAAGTTGGAGCACTCTGCTATAGAGGAAGGCGTGCGGGAGCCTCAAGCTCTGTGTTTTAAAATTCAGCAGGGCTGGGAGGAATCCCAGTCTACTTATTGTTGCATGCAAATGTACGCCTGTTCTTTTCCGTAAGCATTCTTCCAGCTGCCAGTGCAGCATCCTGTGGAGAAGTTACATTCCTCTGAACGAATAAGGCACAGATCTGTTCTCTACTTTTTCACTCACCTTGCAATAACTCATTTTGTGATTTTTGTGTGTGTCTCATGCCAAAACAGTTGAACTACAAATATATCAGCAATTCCTTATAAAGCCCATAATAGAGAAAATCAAGAATTGGAGGGTTTAACCTCCCTTTAATATTGTTG